TTATCTATTTATGTTTTATTTTATCTAATCATTTTTATTATTCATAAAAATAAATAAATTAATTAATTAATTGGGATTTATATTATTAAATTTATTACTGAAGTTTGTGCTTACCTGTTATACAAAGTTTAAAATGGAAAAAATGTTTACAAAAACAAAAAAACCTTGAACTTCCTGTTTGAGATGTTGCTCCGCCCCCTTTAACGTCATAGCAACGAGTCTGCGGGTGCTCTGATACAGGAGTATGTACGCTAGGGCGAAGAGGAAATAATGTGGCTAACGACACCTATTACACAGCAATACTTACAAGTGGCCCGATTGTCCTGAAGTATCCTATAACCCTGGAATTCCCAGTGTTATGGGAATCCCCAGTGAATTCCCAGTGAGCTACAACTGGGACACGATGCACCGCAGCTGTCAATCATCTCTACAGGAAGAATCAGGAAATTCAAAGTTTCATCCTCCTCCTCTTCTTCCTCTGCTGTGCGGTGTGTGGTGGATCATTTAAAGGAATCAGACAGAGGAAGGGGACAGGATCGATCACATGATGACTAACATACACACAGACTCCTCGGATCTATAGCTCAGACCTGAGTTTAGTGAGTCTGCCTCAGGTCCGGGACTGACGGAGCGACATGGAGCGCAGCTGCCAGGACTGGATGTCAACTTTACCCGAGGAGCTGTGGGACGTTCCTCTGACTGACCTGGCCATACCTGGTGAATACAACACTTCTTTTATCGTTTCAAACGTTACTTTTAATGTAGTTAGTGAAGAGGAGGAGGAGGAGGAGCAGGAGGAAGCTTGTGACTTTTACAGCAGCTGGTGTAAAATGGTTGTAACAGGGACAGAGAATAGGATGGTGACTGATCTGCAAACTGCTGACTTTGATAAATTAGTTATAGGCCTGATGTGTACATGACTTTTGGTATTCATATTAAAATTGAAATAAATAACTTATGTTTTATTATTCAATCTTCAATTCAATGTTATTTATAAAGCCCAGTATTGAGATACTTGACACTATATAAAGCAACATGATGCTTACACCTATAATACAGTGATATATATATATATTATTCTGCATTTTACTTTTTTTTAATTAATCTTTATTGAATCAATTTTTGTGATAACAGCATAATGAAATAATAAAATAATTGAAAAATAATAAGAACCAACAAGACAAAAACTGTTTGGGTAAATGCACGATACACAGTTTTACGATATTATTATTTTTAAGATATTTATTTATATATTTTTAATTTCACTTAACTTCAGTTACTGTAATTCAATGAAAAGCCCGGGCTATTATTTGCTTAAATCACTGACATCAACAGGCCTGTATTTGGGACAGGCCTTTAATTCCTTTCACGCAAAACTGTTGCTCAGCAAAGATCGGAAATACAATCAAAGTGTTTATTTAAACCAGTATGAATATTACTTGTTAAAAATTAGGCCTCAGATAATTGCCTATATAATGAGTCATTCATTTGATCCAGTTCTGACAGACATTTGTTGTTTGTTTGTTGTTTGTTGTTGCTGTTGGTTTAGTGAATTAGTTAATGAAAAATATTTATTCAGTAAGTCTGACTGAGATCAAGATGTCTGGTACAGGAAAGACCTAGGGACACATTACATAAGCTAAAATATGCTGTGCAGTCCATAGTCAGTCACGCAACAACAACCAGCACACACACAAGAAGAATTCACTCATTCAAACATTCCTTCCTGACCTCAGAAGGATGACGTGTATCATACCAGAAGTCTTACCCTATGCAGAGTTGGTATGAGGAGGAACCTTTTAAAGCATTAACGTGTCTGTACATTCATACCTGTTTATCCAGGGAGCCACGATGCCATGAGTTACTGCCTGGACTACAACTCCCCCCTGGTCCCATCTGAATCAGACTTCTTCAGACTCCTGGATCGACTTTTCTCCTGTTTTACCAGACCTGCCATATTTAAGTGGGCTACAACACAGGTGTGTGGTATAAACGTAATCAATGAGTGGTGTGAGGACCCCTGTGGGACTATGAAGGCACTGCTGTGGTGGAAGTATTTTAACGTTTTATGAATTGCTGTTCCTCCCAGGACAGAAGCGTTGAGGAGCAGCTTTCGATGGGGATTCGCTTCTTTGATCTTCGCATTGCACACAAACCCAACGACCCATCCAGCGACCTCTACTTCACACACGTCATATACACACACCTAACAGTTGTGGTGAGTATAATCATCTTAAAGGTCTGGTGTGTAGGATTTAGAGGCATCTAATATTCATAACCATGTTTTCATTAGCTTGTAATCACCTGAATTGTTGTGTTTTCGTTACCTTAGAATCAACTGTGTATATCTACATATGGAGCAGGTCAAGAATGGACAAATCATTCACAGGCTCTAGACCGGGCCATTTGCGTTTTCACGTCGCCCACCAAAGTTCTCCTACACGCTTGAAATACAGAAGTTTCAGTTCTGCAACCTCACTGGTAAATACCACAACATCCTTCACAGTGTAACTTTAAAGGAGCTGTGTGGGACCCTAAGAGCTATGATATAAGCCATTTTTACACAGAGATCGCACTTTAGGGCTGCTACAAAGTCCCTTCTTCATACCTCCTTTGCATTTTGACAGAACCAAACAAAAGTGGCATCATTCTGCTCCAGTGTGTGATCATACACAGCATCTCGGCTTCTCAGGATTAAAAGAGGCGTGATATAACACAACAGCGTTGGCCTCTAGTCTGACATAAAACAAATGCGTCAGCAGCGCTTTATAATCTATAACAACGTCATTAAAATGGCAGTAACAATCATTTACTATCTCTATTATACGGCAGCTGAGCTCATCGTCTGCTCGGAGGGTAAGGAGCTCCCGGACCTCATTGTTTCCAGATTTACGGACATTTTCGGCTGCTGTTCTTCTTCTTTGAGTTAGCAGCTAACTGCTAACAGCTAATTTATTAATCTCCTGTGGTGGGTCACACACATAATACGTCAAAGCGTCACACCCATCCTACCAGCTGTCCTGTTTATACATACATGTTTAAGCGCTGTTACTACCTCCTGTGGCCGCTTAAAGGCGAGACCACTCCCCTAACTGCTCAGACAGTGCTAACAACAGCAACAGTGCTCACAGAGCTAACAGTGTTAACAGCAGAAGGGAACAGGAGGATGGGCGCAACACTTATGTAACACTGCTGCTCTGCCACCATGGATCAAGACTGTGTTATCAACGGTAACCGCCGTGTGAGCGCAGTGCAGAGCAGCAACAATTAACCAGCCAGTGGGACACACAGGGACTCACAAGCACTAACATGCATGGACTGCTGGACCGTCTAGCACGACAAAGAACAGAGAAGCTCAGATTACAACACACACAGAGGGAGCGTGACTTTGTTATCTTCTCAGGACGCCATTACTCCATGATATCGTTACACAGCAAATAGTTGTGTTTCTATTGATGCTCTGAATGTCACATACAGAAGCTTTAAAGCAAGCATCTTCAACGTTTTTCAGGCCAAGGACCCTCTAGCTTAAAAAGAGACGGAGCAGGGACCCCCACTACAAATATTTTATAAACTGCATTTGAGATAATTTCCTGAATATTTTCTGGTCTTTTCTTGTTTGCATTTGCCTGTAGCTGCTAAGTCAGCATTAGCTGTAGCAATACCAGGCGTGTTAACCTCTTCCTCTGCACTTTGGCCATTTGCATCAGAGTGGGCGTTATGCAAGAGTCTCTTGCTTGAGAAGTTTCAAAATGATCCATCCCCTGCAGTAACTAGGGGTCGTGAACCCCCTGTTGAAGACCCAGGCTTTAATAAAAGTTTCAATTTGGATTTTTATACTATCTGCCTCCTTCACAGGAAACACTGTCGTCCGTCGCCACCTGGCTGGAGTCTCACCCAAAGGAGATTGTTATTCTTGCTTGCAGCCATTTTGAAGGAATCAGCGATAAACTCCATATATCGTTCATTTCCTCCCTGAAGAAGCTGTTTGGATCAAAACTCTGCCCCCGGAAGGTTAGCTCTCTCCTCGCACAGCTGGTTCACGGTATAAAAACAACACACTGCCTTACACACTCTAACCTGCCCTCCACAGGAATCAGACCTGACCTTGCGGAGTTTGTGGGCATCTGGTTACCAGGTCATCCTGTCTTACGAGTCCCAGGCTGCAGCGAGATATCAGGAGCTGTGGCCTGCCATCCCTTACTTATGGGCCAACAAGCAGACAGCACAGGGAGTGATCAGTTACCTGGACTGGAACAAAGACCTGGGACGTCCAGGTGAGTTTCATTTACACTTTGGCCCAATTGCATAACGTTTGTGTAGACTAGAGTATGCAACATTACAGCATATTGTGTGTGTTTCCATTCACACACTAACTTATGTGTTTTTCCAGAGGGCTTCTTCGTCTCTGGCCTGAACCTCACAGCTGATCGGTGTTACATCACCAAGAACCCGAAGCAATCCTTGCGGACGCTGACCTTCAGTAACTGGGAGTGTTTGAGGAGATGGCTGGAGGAGCAGGTACCTGGGTCAGACCCCAAGAGCCTCAACATCATCGCAGGCGACTTTGTGGGTCCAGTGCCACTCTGCTCTCTGGTCATCGGACTGAACAAAAAACTGCTACGGAAGAATGCCGTCAGCTAAAAGAACATTTTTACTCCATGGAAACTGATCCCAAAAAAAAATACTGTATACCTCATTTTCTATTTTTTAATACTTCTGTCCATCTATAAGCACTTTTGTCTACATTAAAGAAACACTCCGGCCCCCAAATGACCATTTGAATATTAATTACTCGCCCCGTGTTACTGTGAATTTGTGAAGAACGCTTTTGTTTTCTTACATGCCTTCAGTGAACAAAGAATCCAAAAACAGAGAAATTTTTACTGAACTGAAGTCGTTGGGGTCCACGCCTAACAACAGCAAAACTATATCAAAACATCAGTTTACAAACTCGACACAACTTGTATTATACTACAGTTATACTCATGCAGTATAATCCAAGTCTCAGTATCCAGCTGTATGCTCAGTACTTCCCACACAGTCAGCTGTTTCCGACGGGGAACCGAACTAAAAGTGAAACTCATCTATGCTCTCGTCTATGCCAAAGTCCATTGAGAAAAACAGTGATTTAACATTGCTAAACACAGGAGCTGCTGGTCTATACTGCCTCAATTAGTTTGTTTTTTGTGTTAGTGTGTGATTTTGGTGTTCATTCAAATTCACTAAAGTTGCATGATAACACATATAAACTACTAATTGAGGCAGTGGTAGACCAGCAGCTCCCATGTTAAGTGAAGTAAAATTACTATTTTTGTCAATGGAGTCTGGCCTTGAAAAGAAAATAGAAAAGTTTCACTTTTAACTCAGTTTAAATACTACGATTTTAGCAAAAATTAATGTGTTTGAGAAGCACTGTGCATACGACTAGATAAATGAGACTTTGATTATGCCACATGAGTTGTATGAGAGTTCGTAAATGATTGTTTTAATATAATTTTGCTGTTGTAAAGTGGACCCCGACGTCAATTCACCACAAATTATCTCAAGTTTTAGATTGTTCAGTCCCCAAGACATCTGAGAAAAGCGTTTCTTCACAAATTCAATGTGACACAGGGTGTGTCATTGATGCACAAATCATCATTTGGGGGTGAAATTCTTCTTTAAGACTGGAAAATCTATATTGACTAATCTCTGTTAAGATGCTTTTTCCGCCAGAAAACATTCTGTATGTTTTGAATCTACAGCTCTGATGTGCAATGTGTTTACAAGAACGTACATTATTCTTTTACAAAATTATATTTTCCAATATTTTAATGTACTGTACAATACATACAGTCTTTATTAAAGATGTTTGTGGCACAGCTTGCAGTCCACATGGAGCAGTCATTTCTTTGGCGCTGCTGTCATGCAGCAGGACAGATCAACCTCCTCTCTGCTCTGCTATCTGCCTGTGAACAGCTTGTTGTAGCGTCCATACGCAGCGGTGCTGATGATGACCTTGACAACAGCTGAGCCTTCATCTGCATTCACCTGCACGTCTTGAACGGTGGCTTCCTTGTACAGCCAGCTGTGGATGGAGAGGTGCATTAACTATGGATGCTTCTCTTATTCTAAAAATAAAATAAACGCAGTGAGAGAAACAACAGCTCTCACCTTAGCTGAGGAGAGCTGAGGTCAACGATGAGATCTAAAATGTGTTTTCCTGTAGAGTTTACAATCTCCTCTTCCACGGCTTTCCTCAGCTCATCCAGGCCTTGCTCTTCCAGGGCAGATATGGGCAGTGCGTTGAGCTCAGTTAAATGATAACTGAAAGGGAAAAATACTTTATTTTTATAGTTAGCATTCACACAGCACACACAAAAAGGTCAATAAAATGATGTCATTCATAATAGTCTCTTGGAAAATTATGAGAATTATATGTTTGTGAGTTAGTCATCTAAATGAAGTGTCTTATATGGTTTTGAGTGCAGTTAAATGTGGCATTTCGTGATGTAAATTTAGTTACATTGGTTAATTGTTTGGCTTTGTGATGCAAGAAAACATTCAACGTAGTATAAACTCTACTGTCTAGATCTACAGGCTGGTGAGCAGATGCCTATATTTTCTATTTTCTTTCCTTAAATGATACGTAAAACTTTCGGACATTGGTTCGATATTGAGCGAGACCGCTGCAGCCAGCATAGGCAAAACAAGCTGCTTTATAACCATAGCAGTCAGTGTACGTCCCCTAAAAGTGCTTGTTTTGTCACTGACAGGCTCAGATTGTTGTTATAGGTGTCTGACAACACTATGGAAAGGATCCCTACAGAGATAGACTGGAGTCTGGTGGGTTTAGCACTCATGATTTCAGGTCTGTTTCTTGTTTAGAAAAAAGGATGTTACTCTTTAAGAAAAGGTCTATCTCTGTAGGGATCCTTTCCAATGTTGTCAGACACTTATAATAACAGTCTGAGCCTGTCAGTGGCAAAAACACATTGAGTGGAAGTAAACTGACGGTACATAATCGCTCCAAGTGGTTACATTGCAGCTTGTTTCGCCGCCTCCATACTGGACCAGTTTCAAGTATTGTTGTTCCCATTTGTCACTAAAACACAAAAATTCAGGAAAATAGGGTCCAACTTGTTTTTAGTTTCCATTCTAAAAGATTTCCAAAGTAAAATCTATGTTTAGAAATCTGGATTTTTCTCTCTTACTTGTCAACAAGGTCGATTTTATTGTGGACTTCTATCATGGAGTTCATCAGCCTGTCTGGGATTTGCAGGTTCTTCAGCACATTCAGTACGTTCACCTTCTGATTCACCGTCTCTGGGTGACTGATGTCTCTGACGTGAACCAACAGATCCTAGAAGTGTGAGACAGACAGGTCAACAACTCTACTCCAAAACTTTAATACTGCATTTCATCACAAACGCCCTCGATATGAGCAGCAGGTACATACTGAGTGTTTAATATCCTCCAGCGTGGCAGAGAAGGAGTCAATGAGCTGGTGGGGCAGCTGCGACAGGAAGCCGATGGTGTCCACGTACAGAACGGTCATGTGACTGGGCAGCTGGCCTGCATGGACGGTGACATCCAGTGTGGCAAACAGCTGGTTTCTGGGTTGAAGACCGCTGTCACCAGTCAGTGCTTTGATCAGGGTCGTCTTTCCTGGACAAAACAAAAGAAGTGTGGTCAACACCATCAAACTGCTAAATGTTGCAGTATCAAAGCAACGTGCCAGCTCTGTCTCCTGTCTCTCACCACAGTTGGTGTATCCTAACACAGAGACGATGGGGAACTCCTTGTGTTTGCGCTGAGATCGCAGCAGGTGCCTCTTTCTCCGCAGTTTCTCCAGCGCTGAGCGGATCTTCATCTCCCGCTCCTTCAGCAGCCTCTGCTGGACCTCCAGCAGTGTCTCACCTGTGAGGACCCATCACCAAGCTGAAGCAATCACTAACATCCAGGCTGACATGTGCGTGCTGCTGTTCATCGCTCAGGATGTTACCTGAACCTCCGATGTATCTCGATCCTCCGCCCTGCTGATCCAAGTTTGTGATTTCATGTTTCAGGCGAGATCTGCGTCACATGAGGACATTTTAAAATTCCAGTGATTGATTGAAAACATTAAGATGTGTCAATGATGGGATGTTTGAGTGGTCGAAGTCACCTTAACAAGGGGATCTCTGCCAGAGAGATCTGCAACTTGGCCTCTTTAGTCCTGGCGTTGCAGCGGAAGATGTGGAGAACCACTGAGTATCTGTCAAAGACTTTAACCCCCCACGCCTCCTCCAGTTCCTTCTGCATGAATAAAAAAATGGTCGTCAGTGTGTGGAACCTTCCTGTACGCAGCCAGAGAGCGATTTTCAGATCAGCTCACCTCAGACAAAGGAGACAGACGCTCCACGTTCACAAACACTGCAGTGATTCCTGCTGTCTTCCTGATTCTCTCTGAACGAGGATTAAAAGCACAGATGAGTCACATTAAAGAACTCTCTGCACAGACTCACAGGTGGGAACAGAAGGGATGATACCTGTCAGAGACTGGAAGTTGCCTTTGCCAAATATCCTCTTCTTCTCTGGTGTTTTGGTGGAAAGGATGATCTTGTCCACCACCCTCCAGTTATCCAAAGTGTTAACGAGCCCCTCAGCCTCGGCCATCATCAGCTCAGCTGTACAGTAAGCAGTAAAGTGAGTGAGATAAACGCCCCAGCATGAGCCACACAGTCACACACGACACTGCTGACATACAGCAACATTTATGGCTCCATGAATTCCTCATATTTTCTTTAAAAATGTGTCACATATTTATAACAAAAACATATAAGACATAAACAGCATAATTCATATTAAAAACTCAGTTATTTTTTTTACTTTACTGAGCTTTTTTTTTGGTACATGTGCCAGATTTTATCAGGTCCCATGTGCCATTAGCCATAAAACTATAAATACTCAAAATATTATTTTATTATTTTAGTTATTATTATTATTTTTGTTTTGCAGTTTTCCTGTTTTCTTGTTGTATTTTGTTTATTTTTGCCTTGGAATTTTAATTATATATCTGTTTTACTCTATGACATAATGTTTGCTTGTGTGGACCCCAGGAAGAGTTGTTACTACCTTGGTAGTGACTAATGGGGACCCAAATAAATTAATAAATATATATAAACAAATAAATAAATAAATACATAAACCACAATAAACTCTCTTTATTTTATATATATATATATATATATATATATATATGCGAGGAAGAACTACAGTGATTTTTTTTTTCAGTGAGTAATTTAGCATCCTGTTAGTTTGTTACAGACATGTAATGTATCTACTTAAGAAAAAAATCCAGCTGTTTATTAAATCTAAAAAAAAAAGAAGAAGAAGAAGGTTTTAATGGGAAAAAATATATATATCTTATAGGCCATGATAAACTCTCCCTGATTTTATATATATAGTTTTATAGTAGTAATAATAATAATAATGAGAAAAAGAAGAAGATATTATCATTATTATTATTTTCACCTACCTTGTCCCCTAAGTAATTTTCCTCCCTGTTAGTTTGTCACAGAAGCTTAAATTCTTTCACTTGAGAAAAAAATCCCTGTTTTCTGAATGAACAAGATTATAATCTTAAATTCCAGGAAAAAAAAAAGTTTTTGTGGAAAAAAAAGTCTGCTCCATTTTTCTAAATTCACGAGATAATCTCATTATTTCGGAAAAATTAGAAATTACAAGATTATTATCTTGTCAATTCAGAAAAACAAAGGAGATTTTTTTTCCCATGAAAAAAATTCTCATAATCCTGTGATAATCATTTAATTTTTCATAAAAATGGGGCATTTTTTTCTTAACTAAATACATTGTCCAAATAAATAAATAAAGGATTTTTTTTAAGGCCACTGAGTCCATTTTCAGGAAGTGACAGTTTTCTTGGGAGAGAACTCAAAAGAAGTAAAGTAGGGTGACCAAAAACTTTCTTTAGCTCAGACCAGTATGAGCCAGTTAGGGCTGCAACGATTAGTAGACTAATCGATGACTAATCGACTATTAAAATAATTGGTGACTATTTTAGTAGTCGACTAATCGGTTTGAGTCATGTTCCATAGAAAAGTACTATAAAAGTACCCCAAAATACTCTTATTGCAGCTTCTTACATTCAAATATTGGCAGCTTTACACACTCTCCCATGACGGTGAACTAAAACCCTTTGGCGTGAGTACGAAACAAGACATTAGATGACATAATTTTGGGGTTTGGGAGAGACAGACCGGCATTTTTCAACATTTCAACACATTTTTCGATAAAATGATTAGTCGACTAATCGAAGAAATAATCGACAGATTAGTCGACAATGAAAATAATCGTTAGTTGCAGCCCTAGAGCCAGTCCACCCATCAAGATTATTTGAGTGTCTGACACTGACCAATATGTTGAACTGACAGTTAAACATGACTCTATTCTTATATAATGAAACAAAGGAAAGTCAGGGTGGGATCTATTTCCCCCTCAGAGTTATGAGTCTGACATGTTGCTGCCTCACAGTGACGCTCCTCATGTGAACACCTGTTACCTGTGGTCAGGTGCTGCTTCCTGCTGCCCCACTTCACATCAGGTTGAACGAGGAACACCCTGTGCTGACCCTCTCCGATGTCCACGGGACTCTGAAACAGCTCCTCCACCTCGCTGTCATCAATGAAATCTTCATCTTCATCTTCCTCCTCCTGGGTGAACCCTGTGTGCTGCCCGCTGCTAACGTCATCCTTGTCCTTTGACCTCCACGCAGAGACACCAAACGCCCGGTGCAGCTGAGAGGAGCTGACTGCAGCTGCACGGTGAGGCTTGAGGAGGAGTCTGCAGACTGATGGTGCTGCTCTCTGACACAGGGGTGTGCAGTGTCTCTGCAGGAGTGGGAGCCATGAATGGAGCCTCCTCAGTGATGTCATGTTGTCTCCGGAAGATGTGGTCACATCTAAGAGTTTTCACATCAGACAGTAGAAACTAACTTACAAGGATCATGCTACAAGGGAGGCACGAGGACACCCATAAACACTGTTGACGTTTTTTTTTCTTCTTCCTCTTTTTGCTTATTATAGGATCACAAACCACCCTGGATAGCGCACACTGCCACCTGCTGGACATGTACAGCAACTCCAAGTTCTTTATTTATCAACGTTAAATAGATATGTTAAAAAAAAGAAGTAGAAGAAACATAGTACGCAAGTTAAAATAAAATAAGAATCTAAACCTAAAATACTGCAAGTTGAAATAAGGGATAAAATATAAAATGAAGTATTTTAGATTAGACAGAAATTGCAAATGAATAAATTAAATTGTTTAAATAATTTTCCACTTACCGTGCTCAAGGACCAACCTGAGGGGATTTTTGGAATTATTTTGCATTGTCTGGGGGCCTGGAAGTGTGATTTTTGTTTGGTCTTGCCCTATTTACTCATTTAAAATTATCATTGTTTATTTTTTCAAAACTAATTTTTGTTATTCTCTTAGTATCCCCTCTTGTACGGATCTCTATTAACCTGTTTGTATTATATTTTTATTCTTGTTTGTCAAGATTGACTGTCTCAATTGTCATGTACCAACCCAACTTAAATCAATAAAAAAAATAATTATATAAAAAAAATTTATATAATTCATCTCAGTTTTTGACATTTCCTTTGTCGTTTAGCAATTTTTTACATTTTAATTGAAAAACCAGCGAGCCTATATGAAAATAAATGAACTTATTGATCATTACGTTTCCTCTACTACAAAAAAAATACAAAATAAAATAATAATTTATTGTAGTTTCACCACCGTCTCATATGTTCAGTCTGCCCCCTGGTGGACTGGAGGATTATTACACCGTTGAAGTAAAGTGATTTTCATTTTAACATAATTTCGAACAGTTTGATTTTGTGGTTGGCAATGCTAGCTTACTTTTATTCGTGTTACACCATTTGTTCTTAGCTCTGAGGGAAATATATTTTCATGCTTTTGGTCCATTTATCATTATTTTGGAGATTTTCATCTTCATTAAATGTTTTGTCTTGCCTAATGTCTACGTAGTTTTCAGTGAAACACCAGTATGGATGTAAAAAGTCATACTCCAGTGGCTATTGTGTTTGAGAAAAGGAAATACAGTAGCTTTAATGAGTTTTTACTGTCTTACAGGGTTTACAAAGGCGGCCTACTGTTTTGAAATTCTTATTTTAAATCTGTGTTTGTACTGTATTGGCAAAATATTTTTTATGTTATGTTGTCCACAACACCATGTTTCAATATGACTTTCTGCTCAGTTCAAATTATAGGAAATCTTAGGATGAGACTAATTAAAATTTTTCCTCTTCGACACCTCAGCCCTCATTTAATCTTACTTTTATTTCCAGTATAATTCCACACGTATGGAAGGTTTTGTCACTTTTTAAAATAATGTCCATTCAGATTCAAAACTTGGACTCCTTCACCACATGCCTTTCTGGAGACAGGTAATATTTCAGCCTCAGCAGGCTGCATTTAGACAATGTCATAGCACTATAACAGCTTCATGACGTTGTCAGTGCTCTGGACAGTTGCTCTCACTGTGTTGTGCTTTTTATTGACTTCATAGATTTGAGATTATGGACAGAGCCCTTTTCTTGAAAAAGTCATCTTTTAAAGGTGAAGATTATGTTTCAGTTCAGTGGTTTTATGACTGTTGTTCCCAGAAACTGTTTAGCTGAAATTAAATGCTTTTAAAGTTGGTAAAGGTGTTCCACAAGGGTCCATATTGGGACCGCTTCCATTCTCACAATACAAGAATGATGCAGAGTCTATGCCACTTAACATTGTCAGGCACACTAAGATGATGTCATTTTGTCATTTGGATGGATGTTTTGCTATTTATTTATTTATTTATTTATTGTCCAATGTCTATACTTAACTTTCTTTATCTTGTTTACTTCTGTTAGAATATTGTGAATTGCCAAAGTCTCTGAAGAGGAAAAATGTTCTTTTTCTTTCTGTTTTAAATAACACTGTTGATGCAACGTTTTGTGCACAATTTTGTGTCATATTTTAAATCTATAAAATTTAAAAATGCATTCGGTGTGATTCAGTATCACCAATTTATAAATGAAGTGCAAATATTTCATTCAATATTAAACTTCTGGTGAAGGAATGAATGACATAAATATGTTGTTAACCGTTTTAAAATGCACTTCTGTTGCTTGGGAAACATGTAAAGTTTAATGTTTAACCACTTCAACAGTATCAGCCCTGTATGTTTGCGACGTTTGAATCTCGGCGGGTGCCATATCACGCTGCCAACAACAAAGCATGTGGGTGTGGGCGTGTGTGACCTAAAAAGAAGTCAAACAGGTCGGACCATCCTTCATAATATGACTCTCAACAGGATGTATGCTGATGGAAACTGAGGGCTGATGTTTTTAAACTTATTTCTATGTGGAAATACATTTTAACTTTTTGTTTTTACTTTTACTGCTGGTGATTTAAAATCAGAGAAAGACGAGACAGGGAGCAGGAATGGCTCAACAAGCCGCAACATGACTGTCAGTGACTTCATTCAGAGTGAAGCAAGGTGTGCGGATGACTTGGAGCTGTTAAAGGGAGGGAGCAGGAGAGAAGGAAGTGAAGTTAGACGGGGCTATAAGTCAGTAATGGGACTGTCTTCGTTTTCTAGTGTGAAGAGGAAAATATCTTCGAGTTGTTTTTGCGTCTCCGGTGCGCAAACAGGCCCCCGGCAGCGGGCGTTACCGGTGGCACTGTGGCGCACAGGACTGCTGCTCAGCTTCCTCGGTTTCTGCGCCTGTCTGGGTAAGATGACTCGCTGTCTGTTCATGCATGTTACACCCTGAGATAAGCAGCCACACTGACACTTGATGCCGATCAAACTGAGCTGTTCCTCTTCTTTCTCTACAGAGGAAGAGTGCGTCCTTGGCATTGTTGGACGAACAGTGTCACTGCCCTGTGTTAACCCTCAGTTATTGAACTTTGTGAATATTTCCATTGAGTGGAGGAGAGGTGAAGAAGTGGTGCTCAGATCAGTGTGGACAGAGAATGGAGATGTGGAGGAGTGGAGCATTAACAGGGCCACAACTCCAGTTGATGCTGCACTGACCGGGAACTTCTCTCTGCAGCTGCCCACAGTTGATCCCACAGAGGACAGAGTAAATTACAGTCTCTTCGTCATTTCAGAGGGGAATCAGAGCACTGAGCTGTGCACCGTGTGCCTCAGGACAGCAGGTCAGTGTCAAACACACAGGAAGTCATTAGAAGAATATTTAAAGTCACTAACTCCTGTCTTTGATGGCTGTTTGCAGCCAGTTTCAGCTTCCCAAAGCTGCAGAGAGAAGAAGCAGAGGAGGGAGAGGAGACAAGCGTCTGGTGTCGCTCCAGTGGAGGTTTTCCTGAACCCACAGTTTACTGGCTCATCAACAACACAGAGGAGCCCCCCGAAGGCTCAGTGTCGACCCTGGCAGCACCAGTCCCAGACACCCAGCTGTACAACATCACAAGCCACCTGACCTCCAACATTTCCAAAGACGCAAGCGTGTCGTGCATCATTAAGAACCCGTCCATGAATGAAACCCTGGCATCCACAAACTGTGAGTGACTAGTTGCTGCCTGTTCAGTTATTAGACCTTAAACACAATTGGTTCACTAATGTCTGGTTCTTATTGGTGCTAAGATGGAGGGAAGGGCAGCCCTGTCATTGGTCGAGCATCACAGGGCATGTGGATGTTCAGCACAGGGCTCTGTGTGGTGGTTGGCGTCATGGTGTTGGCAGGAGTCATCTATCAGATTCACCTGGACAGGATAAGTAAGAGGAAGAAGAAAGAGTACCAGAAGGAGCACCCAAACAGAGGTAGGCATCTGAAATCTTCACAAAACCCACTTTTACACATCTGAGAGTTTCTCCAAAGGGTCCGTCTTCAATAATTAAAACAGACATGAAAACAACTTTTAAAATAACGGGAAAAAAAACCCACTGGTTGCTGGTGAAGGCTGCTGCTGTGATCCAGGCGTGAAGAGATGAAGGCATGTAAAACTGTCTGTGTCTTTTAAAGTCAAAATGGATTGTACTTTTGAAATATTTCTAAGATGATAAAAAACATGATTGCACAATTTGTGATGTGCTGCACAAAACTTAAATAACTATCAAACCAGACACCAAGATTTCTTGCAACAGGTTTGATATTATCCAATAGGGGACGAGCCGAAGGCAGAATTTGTTGTGTAACATGCTGCAGCCTGATGGCAACAATCTCTGTTTTGTCTGAGTTCAGCTGGAGAATTTTTTTTTGACATTCAGCTTTTAACATCAGTGAGGCAGTAATTAAGTGAACACATAATTTGTTGTGTAATGAATATGTTCTATTTTGTAATTGTGTTTTTTATTTAATAGTAAACAGGCGGGTGCACTTGTGTATCATCAGCATAGTGTCCTAAAATTCTTTTGGTCCAGTATTTTTGACAGTATTTCAAAAGTTTTTACTTCTAATCCAGTAACAGATCCTTTGCTAATTGTCTTCCACTCATCTGAATCAGCGGTGAACCACATTACATACACATTACATTTTATAATTTTTGTAAAATGTGCAAGGTGTAAAATGAACCCTAGCTTAGAAAATGAAAAGAGAACAGAATGGTTACAGCAAAGGTTTTTCTTAGAGGTGTAAAGAAGTGAAAGTATCTCATATTTTACAAGAAAAACTAGAATTACCGCCTCAGCACACCAGTCAAGTTGCAGTTAGAGTTTACAGCCATGTCTGTTCAGACTCTTATGTAACCATGACAGCTGACAGTGCTCCATATTCTAAAACAGTGGGTCGCAGTCTAAAAGTGGGTTACGAGTCAATTTTCAAAGGAACGTGTGAAATTTGTAAAAAACACACTTTATTTATTAGTATGGTGAATTTCTGGCACAGGGCTTTTATTTTGAAGTGCAGTTTCCTGCTGTAGAATTAGTGAGAGAACAAACAGCTACTTAACAGAATTGGCAAACATGGCCAAACGCAAGTATGATGCTGATGAATATATTAAACTGTGTGGACCTTGAACTAATGACTAAGGAAGAATCGGGACCCTGTGGCTGCATCAGTTGGAAACCACTGTTCTAAAACATGGATGCTTCAAACACAAGAACTAGACAGTATCTGACCAAATCCAGCCCTATCTGTTCCTGAGTTATGACACTGAAGAAGGGCCAGGAAAATGTTTTTGCAGAGCATTATGATGTCGCAGTGAAGTTGACCTTTGACCTTTTGGATATAAAATGTCATCACTTCATCAGTTTATCTTGTCGGACATTTTTGTGAAATTTTGTGTTAATTAGCATACGAATCTAAAACCAAAACCTTGACCTGACAGCCACCAAATTCCAGTCAATTCATCTTTGAGTGCAGGTGGACGTTTGTGCCAAACTTAAAGAAATTCCCTTGTGGTGTTCTTAAGATGTTGCCTTCACGATAATGGGACAGACAGCCTGTAAACATAATGCCTCTGGCCACATCTGTCATGGCCACAGAGGCATAATCTTAAAAGTTTGTTATTTTGTGTAACCACGGTAACCAGGGACCCTAAAGGTTTTGAGGGGGCCTTGTGGAGCCTCAAACCGTAGGCTGGAAACAACGTCCTTACAATGCATGCCCAACCAATTCGCCTAAACAGTATCTGACCTGCATCACTGCTCCCTTGTGGCTGCAGTTTAATAACTTGATGTGAGCAGAGTTGGAATTTTTCAAATTGTCACGCTCTCTCATCAACCACCAACTTGGTCGTAGGTATCCCAGTGTGCTCTGTGCATCCAATCAGTCGCTTCCAATACACAATGGGTGTTGCTCAAAGTCAAGGACGGATCTTTAAATGGCTGAATTCCAAGGATGCTGTGTCATCAAGTCCCGCCTAAGGACTGTTCCAGTGTCAAAGATCCTACCGAGATTAGAGAGTGCCAAAATCATCACAGTATCCTGAAACCACGTCAGTCTGCTGAGGGTTAATGACACATGCCTGGAGACACTCGTTAGCCTGTTCCAATGTGTGTTCACTGAATGATAGGGAGGGGAAATGAGTGGGAGTGAATCTCTGGTTGCATATAGTTGTGTATAGTTGGCATGCACCGTTAGCTTCTATTGGAGGACGCTGTAGCTGCATAATAAGAATAAGAACAGTATTTCCCATCTTTCCTAGCTTTCAGAGGGAGTATTATGGATATCATTTTCCTATCTTGGTGTTGAATTTACCATCATGTTATCTAAGGCAGGGGTTCCCAACTGGTCCAGATTCCTCCTCAGTCATTAGTTTGAGGTCCACACAGTTTAATTTATTCAGCGTTATGCTTGTGTTTGGCCATGTTGTGGAGCTAGTTTGCCGTCTCTGTTAAGTAGCTTTCCATTCTCTCACTTACTCTGCAATAAGAAACAGCACTTCAAAATAAAAGTTCTGTGCTGGAAATTTACTGTACTTAAACCATGGTTGTAACTCTGGTTGATCCTGAGAGGCCACTGCTTCTGTTTGTTCAGAGGAGTGGTTATTAAATAATGTTAATAACCAGTGTTATCACATGGTTGTTTTATTCAGTAGCCATTTAAAAACCTATGGAGGATGAAAAGTGACATAAAGAATAAGTCTAAATAAATGTATAAAAAAATACAGGAATAAATACGTAAATAAAAATACAGAAATAAATAAGTGAAAAAACAAATGCTGAAATAAATAAAGAATAAATGAATGCATAAATAAATAAATCCTACTTCAACACGCAGACACAGAAATACAAAAAGAAATGTTCTTGTACCAAAACGTATAAATAAATTTAACATATTTTATTTATTTATATCCTGTTTAATGGATAATTAAACTAATTTAATTTATTAATTTCTACATTTATCTATGTACTTCCATATTTATTTCAACATTCATTTATTTTGTTTTTTTACTTATTTACTTATTCCTGTATTTATTTTTACTTTTTTATCTTCCATATTTATTTATTCCTTAATTTATTTAATTTTTTAAATTCTGTATTTATTTTTTCCTGAATTTATTAATTTTTTTTAGATATCCTTATTTATTTATTCATGAATTTATTTTTTTAGATTTACGTATTTATTTATTCCTGTATTTATTTATATTTCTGTATTCATTTATTCCTGAATTTATCAAATTTTTTAAAAAAAATTCTGTATTTATATTTCTTTATTTCCGTATTTATTTATTCCTGAATTTATTTAATTTTTAAAAAATGTACGTATTTATGTATTCCTGTATTTATTTATGCATTCATTCATTTATTTACATATTTTTAAAAATGTATTCCTGTATTCATTTACACACATATTTCTGTATTTATTCCTGTATTAACTTGTACGAAAATGTATGTATATATTGATTCTTAAGTAATTTTTCGTCCTCAATATAAAACTTAGTTTTGAAGAAATCAAACATTCTGCTGACGTTCAACAGGTCCTCGTGTGTAACATGCTTTTGTGAAAACCTCTTATTGAAATGAATGTGTGTCGTCACCAGGATACAAAAGGCGAAGTCCGTACAGGGAGGAGACGGAGGCGATGAAGCCAGAGCGAAAGGAGACGGACGTGTAAAACAAATCTTCATTAACTGTCACTTTCCTTATTTGAGGCAGCGGAGCACTGATTTGTAAATATTTGTTGTGACAGCAGGGATCACCGCTTCAATATTCAGCAAGTGGTGGGTTTTTCAACAGACCATGTAGATACTGTTGTACATTTAGTTTCTGTAAGATAATAAGGCATCTCATCCCTTCACCTGCTCAGGAGTCTTCTGTGTTTGCTGGACACTTCCTGTTTCCCTCAGGCAGCAGCTGTGATGTTTAAAGTTTTAATAAAGAGGCTCAAACTCAAACCTGTCGCTGTTTTATTTTAACTTTTACACATCTATGAAACTTTTCCATCATGACAGAAAACACGACGATGAAGAACTGAATTCTTTTTATATCTGAAATCTCTGGAGCCACAACCATACAATCTCTTCAGCCAGAAAAAGACAATTTAATATTTTTTACTGGAGCATTTTATCAACAAACCCCAAAGGTTTAATTTCTAATGATATGAAAATGATGAAAGTAAAACAGCTAAACATCTGTCATCAGTTTCCTATTGATCAACGACTCATCTCAGCATCAGACGTCACACAAAACAAACCACAGTTCAAGTGAGCATCATCATCGTCATCGTCATCCCAACTGCACCTCGTTTCCATCACTTAAGTCGATTAAGCCTGGCTCTTCAGAGGGAGAAGAAGACACAGTGTCTGCGGCACAGATCTGCTGCATAGTTTGTGTCGGTACCTTGGCACCTTCTGTCTCAAGGTCACAGCGTTCAGCTCGATCCCTCCTGCAAAGACTTCACCGTGTAGAGGTCGTCACGACGCTGAACCGTGATCGGGATCTGCTGCCGGATGTCGGCCAAATACTGCAGGTCTGTGAACACGTCGCATATGGATACAGAGAGGTTCAGTGCAGTCTCAAGACAGAAATGACGACAACACCTGTGCAGTATGATGTAATCCAATACAACAGCTCTGACTATGGGATGAAAACAATAACGTCATTTTAATAATACAATAAGGAATTAGAAAGCTTCTCACTATTTTGAGATTCTGAGTCATTATTTTGTTAATGTGTCTCATTATTTCCAGATGAGTAAGTCATTATTTTGAGATAAAAAGTCATTATTTTGAAATAAGTGAGACATTTTAGTGAAGTTTCTTATTATTTTGACATATTTAGTCATTATTTTCAGATACTAAGTCACTATTTCTGATAAAGTTTCTCACTATTTTGAGATACTAAATCATTTTTGTGAATGTTTCTAATTATTTCAATATACATGAGTCATTATTTTGAGATTTTAATAAGGTTTGACATTATTTTGACATATTAAGTCATAATTTTGAGATAAAAAGTAATTATTTTTGAAATACATAAGACATTTTAGTAAAGTTTGTTATTTTGACATATTTAGTCATTATTTTAGAGAAGTGAGTCATTTTAATACAGTTTCACATTATTTTGACACATTAAGTCATTATTTTTGATAGAGTTTCTCATCATTTTGAGATCCTACATCATTTTTGTGAATGTTTCTAATCATTTCAAGATAAGTAAGTCATAATTTTGAGAAAAAAGTAATTATTTTGAAATAAATAACACATTTTAGTAAAGTTTCTTATTATTTTGACATATTTAGTCATTATTTTTGATAACATTTCTCACTATTTTGAGATTCTAGGTCATTACTTTGTTAATGTTTGTCATTATTTCCAGATGAGTAAGTCATTATTTTGACATTTTAGTAAAGTTTCTTATTATTTTGACATTTTAAGTCATTATTTTTTATTTACGTGAGTCATTTTAATACAGTTTCACATTATTCTGACACATTAAGTCATTATTTTTTAGATACTAAGTTTCCCAACATTTCCAGATGAGTAAGCCATTTTGATAAAGTTTCTCATGAATTTGAGATACATAAGACAATTTAATTAAGTTTCTTTTTATTTCGACATTTTAAGTCCTTTTTTTTTTTTTTTTTTAGATTTGAAGTCATTATTTTGCCATACCCAATTCATTATTTGGAGATAGTCATTATATTGAGAATGTTTTTCATCATTTTGATTAATTTCTCATTATTTTAACATACAACGTCATTTTTTCAAGACACGTAAGTCATATACCTCGTCGTTATTTCCAATAAAGTTTCTTGTTAATGACTTACAGGATCTTATTTTTCATCACATGAGCAGAAATGGGCTTCTATAACAAACTACTATTGTTTTGTCTTTAAATATAACCCCACTACCCTTCTAAGTAATCAGATTAATTTCAAATATCAACTGGATGTTTATGCGGCACCGAGAGCCGATCAATGTCATTTTACAAATGCGACAACAGAGCAGCCAGAGCAGGCTCCAGTGCAGCAGTCGTATCTGTCTTGATCAATACTGTCTGCAGAAACAAGCAAAGCGCTCCTTCACTCACCGATGTCAGCGTAAATGATGGCTTCCTCTGGTCCGGCCTTTGAGATAACTTCTCCCCTGCAACAATCACAAGTCTGCAAAATGTAACAGCTAAAAATATTCACAGAAAACAAAAGCTTTTGTTCAGGAGTGTATTTAACTTGTTAAAGGATCTGAATACTTTTCCCACCACTACTGCTGTTAACATCTATCACTTCCCCTCGCTTCCTCTGCGTCTGGCAGTCTAACTCGTGTTCCCTCTAATTCCTTTCACGCAGTCAAACATAGTACGAGCTGGTCAGAGGACACAGAAGATAACATGATTGTGTATGTTGTTACTGTACCATGGGTTTACAACAGTGCTGTGACCCCAGGCGATGTATGAAGAAGTTTCGTCTCTGGCTGGAGATGCTGTGGCCACGTACACCTGGTTATCAATCGCCCTGCAGAGGAGAGAGAGAGAGTTATTGTCACTGTTTAAGACAACAAATTACAGAACCCTCCTGTACAATCAGAGCAACATGATCAATCCTCATCAGCCTGACCTCCCCCTCTGAAGGAGCTCCCAGTGCGCTGGACCAGTCGTCATGTTGAAGGCTCCAGGGTAGACCAGCAGCTGACAGCCTGAGGACGACAGGACTACCACATCATCTCCTGCAAGCACTCAAAAACTCCCCACTCGAAGCCGTAATCAGCCACTTACCTTTTCTGCCGTAGAGCTGTGCCAGCTCTGCAAACCTCATGTCGTAGCAAATCCCCACTCCCACTTTACAGAACGCTGTCTGAGGAATTACAGAGAAAACAGATTCAAGTGAAGCTCGTCAAGCTGCTGGGAAATAACAGAAAGGAGTCGGGGTGTTTGCCACTCACGTGTTTCGAACATAGACAGAGTGTTGCCTGGGGTCAGCGTCTCAGACTCCTGGAAGCGGATTTTGCCTGGAACGTCGATGTCAAAGAGATGAATCTTGAAGATGAAAACATTAAATGGTGAAGAAGAACATTTTAAGATGGCACATTTTGCTGAGTGTGCAGACACAGCTCACACTTTGGTTACATAAGGACCAGATGGCTCATAGCAGTGACGCCAGTACCCTGTGTTCCCGCATTACCCCCCACAAGACTCCCTTTGGGACACGGTGGTAAGTCTTCTCCAAGTCCACAAAGCACATGTAGACAGGATGGGCAAACCACCGTGAACCCTTCAGCAGCCCCGCGAGGGTCAAGAGCTGCTCCATGACCACGACAGAATAAGCATTGCTCCTCTTGAATCGGTCGGAGCCTCCTTTGCAGTACCTTGAAATAAACTTTTCCAGGGAGGCTGAGCAGTGTGACACCCCTGTAACTGGAGCTCACCCTCCAGTCCCCTTTTTTAAAAAAATGTGAACCCAAGTAAACAAAATACAAACTAAATACTGTAGCTGATGCACACATACCTTCCTGTATTTAAGAATCAGCTCTCCATCAGGTCCAAACACTGTGCAGCTGTTATACAACTTCCCACCGTCCTCTTCTGGGATGGATCCTGATAAACAACAAGTCACATGGTTCATTTCTCCACTGTGGAAAAATGTGTTGATCTGTGCTCAGAAACAACGTTTTTGTTAATGAGAGAGGAGCATGCAATGTAATAAAGCAGGTGGAATAAACCAGACAGACATTTATTGTATTCTAGATCAGTGGTTCCCAACTGGTTCAGCCACAGGGTCCAGATTTCTCCTTAGTCATTAGTTTAAGGTCCACACAGTTTAATACCCTCAGCGTCATACCTGTGTTTGGCCATATTGTCGGACTAGTTTGTTGTCTCTGTCAAGTAGCTGTCCCTTAGTTACTCACTCTACAACACGAAACAGCTCTTCGAATGCGCCAGAAATTCCCTCTACTTCAAAATAAAGTCTTTTTTTTTTTTTTTTACAACCTTAGCATGTTCACGAGTCACTCACGACGACCCACTTTTGGACCGCGACCCACCAGTTGGGAACCTCTGTTCTAGAGGAAATTTTGTGATGATGGTAAATGGAGATTATCTACTTTTTAGTTGCACCTAATTCTCCAAAATAAACCCTCATCTATTCATGTCACTGATTTCCCACACTCAGAATCACTTCTACCAACTCCCAGAGAGACACCTGATGCATATTCCACTGCATGTTGACATGTCATAGCAGGTAAAGCACAGGTGTTATTAATGACAATAACGATGTCTGCATAGCACACAGGTGTGTCAGTTCCAGGGAACCTGCTGCTGTGCGTGCTTTGTGCTTCATGCACCTGTCGTGAAAAGGACTACTGTGGGTTATATGATTAAAGATCTCGAGAAAGGCTGCTCTGTGGAAACATTTCAGGCAGCAATGGTTGACCATTCTGACAAATTGGTGACCATTCCTTGGCCTTTGGTTGCCGTTAGTGGCACCACCTTTAACATACAAACCAGTCAGGTTGCAGTGACAGTTTACATGTCTGTCCAGACTCATCTGTTGCCATGACAGTTACCAGTGCTTCAAATATGGACGGTGCTGCAAAGAAGCTGCAAATTCTATGACATGGATCTTTCTAAATGAATAAAGTCGTTTGTGCTCTTATCTGCCTTCACACACTGTATGAAACTCCAGTGATGTTGTGATGTATCAGATCGGTACAATCAGCTGCAGCACTGCGCTGTCCAATCAATAACTGATATCCAATCAGGGGGTGTGTTGGTCGGTAAACGACTTCCGCTAAGGCTGCACTCATGTATCCTTGCTTTCCTCTCCTCTGAAAGCCTCCTCTCTCTCGACCCCTTGACTCCTCCAAGCGCATTTAACATATTGAGACATCCTACAAGCAAGATGGCGAGTCTCATTCATTTCCTGGGTCAAGTGATCAAGGATAGAGGATGGAGGAGTCGCAGAGGGATATTGGGATGAACCCACTGCATTTGCAAGACTGTGACTTTCGTAAGCACAAATGAATGAACAACGAGAAAACATAACGCCTCTGGCCGTGGCTATCGCTGGCACCACGGTGTTATAAAACTTAACTAGGAATGAATCAACAAAGAAACAGACAAACAACAGAAAAACTGTGACATTCAAGATTAGAGTAGTTTGTAATCCTGGCTTTAAACAGACCTATAGGTACAACTGAGTTAAGTTTTTTGGGGGCTTTTTTTTTGCCTTTATTTGATTGGACAGCTATAGTGTGAAAGGGGGAGGGAGAGAGGGGGAATGATGTGCAGCAAGGGGCCGTAGGTAGAAATCAAGCCTGCGGCCGCTGTGGCCACAATACAGCCTTTGTATAAGGGGTGTCTGCTCCACCAGGTGAGCTAGTGGGCGCCCCATGATTGTGTTAAGTCTTAATGTGTGCTGTGTATTGTTTCACATGTGTGCAGCACAAAAACTAAGAGCAGTTTTCCTCAATTTCACTTCAATGAATCGACTAATGATGGGGGCAGTTTAATAGAGAGGGATATATGAAGGCATGTTGACATTTCGGGCTTTTTAAATGAATAGAGACCAACGTCTGTCATGTCTTACTGTTATGGCCACCCCACCTATTCATACAAGAAGCAGTGATGATAGAGTAATGTTACTGGCGATAAATCTTAGGGTGGAGTGATACACTGCATGTAATGGTTCAAGAGTGGAGGCAGAGGCGTGTCAATAGAGGACATCACAGTAATCCAAGACAGACAAGAAGATGGCTTCAATGATCCTCCTCTGAACACAGGAAAGTGAGCTCTGTTTCTGTACAAATATCCATTTCTTTGTCTTAGCTTGACGACACATGTGCCTGAAGCTGTTTCTTTAAGCTGCTCCCTGCACCAATAACACAATATCTTACATGGCTTAACTTATTAACTCTGCTGCTGAGCCTTTAACTCTGTGGCCCTGATACCAAAACCTTATGTGCAGCACTGATACACTAGTCAGAAGCAAACTCTGGGTTAATACATACACCGATCAGCCAAAACTTTCAAACCACTGACAGGTGAAGTGAATAACTGATTATTTTGTTCCAATGCATTGTTCTGCTGGGAAACCTTTGCTTCTGGCATTCATGTGGATACCACCTGACATGTTTCACCCACTCAAACACCGTTGCAGACCAAGTACCCCCCCTTCATGGCAACAGTACTCCCCAATGGCAGTGGTCCCCCAGCAGGATAATGCACCATGCCACACTGCAAAAACTGTTTAGAAATGGCCTGTGGAGCGTGACAAAAAGCTCAAGGTGTGGACCTGGCTTCTAAATTTCCCAGGTCCCAATCTGCTCAAGGATTCTTGTGATGTGCCGGTACCCCAGATGTACCCTAATCCAAGGTGGGGTCTCCTTGGATTTGACTTGGCTCTGACCTGTGGAGGCATGGACACAGGATCTCTGGGAGTGTCCTGCGGTGTCTGGCACCAGTGCGTTGGCGGCAGATCCATTTAGTCCAGTGGGTTGTGAGGTGGGTTAATGGCACTTGCCACAGATGCTCATTCAGATTGGGATCTGGGGAATTTGGAGGCCAGGTTGACACTTTGAGGTCTTTGTCACATTCCTTGGGCCATTCCTGAGCCTTGTTTGCAGTGTGCCATGGTGCATTATATGTATGTGAATAGAGCCACAGATGCTTCCCTACCTCCCACCAGATACACCTTGTTCTCCTTGGCTGCCTCTGACAGCACCTGAGTGGACTCTCCTGGGATCCTCTCTGCATACTCAGGGAAGAAGTTGGTCCCATATGGAGAGTTGAAGCATTCCTGTGTTGATGAGAGGTGAGAGAGGGTCAGTTTTTCAGCAGGAGGTGACTTTAATGTTGGACTTATGCACTAAGGACTTCAAGTTAGGACCCCAGCCTCCTCCTCCTCCTCCTCCTCCTCCTCACCGGCAGCAGCACCACTTTGCCGCCCTGTCCCGCTGCCTCTTTCACCAGCCTCCGGGCTCTGCTCAGGTTGTCGTTCTTCACACTGGTCACCTGCAGCTGGATCACAGCCAGCCGGAACTCTGACACAACAAGACACCGTTATTCATGCTACAACTTGAAACTGTGTCAGCAGTTGGAGACGTTAACACACTGCAGATATTATTAAAATATAAATGCGCTCGGTTTTATTAGCATATTAGCTTCCACTTTAAATTCAATACATTAAATAAAACAGATAACTTACTGGACATCGCTTTAGCTAAAGTTGACATGTATGCAGAGAAGTCCTGTTTGGGTTCACAGTCCACAGAGCAGACATGCCACGTGATTCCGGATGACTATTTGCTTTTCAAAATAAGAGTCTAGAGCTAGTTTTTTTTTTAGCCCTAGCACGGTTTTACGGCGTCAGAGAGTTCCGGTAAAACAAATACAACGATACAAAACAATAAAAACAAACGTCTGCAGATGTTAATTATCTGTTCTTCTGACTTAACGTGACTCTACGACACATACACCAGCTTATGTAAAGTTCGGAGCCTTTATTGTGAAGTTTAGCGGAAGTTATGTTAGCAAGGGGGAGGCTGTTCTGCTGCCAACCCAGTTTCAGGGTTTTTACCTTTACCCTTAAATATTTAAGTTGTTCCTGTGATAATATCAGTAACACATTATCTATTTTATTTCTTTGGGAACAGTCTTTATTCATTAGCAGAAGAATTTTTTTTATTGAGTTATGATTTTTATATGAACTTGCATATTATAGTGCTGGTCTTTTTTATATACATAATTATTATTATTATTACTCTTTTTATTTTGGCACATTTTATTTTTATTTTGGGACTTGGGCTGTAGAGCAGGTTCTCTTTGGCCTCTTCATGTCACAGCCCGGCTCTTAGGTTGGACAAAAAGAGGGACACACTGGTAAATCAACAATAAAGTGATATATTAACTTCAGCGGGTTAGGGTTAAAAAACAACAACAAGAAGTTACAAACAGATATGAGGCACCTCTGGTGGTCAGTAGTGTAAGGAGTGGATGAATGAAAATGTGCTGTGTGAGTGGTGTGTAAAAGCAAGGTATGGTGAGGAGGTCTACCAAAACCAGGTGTGTCCCATGACACTGATTGCACTCAATCAAGGTCTGCAGCTGTGGAATAAGACACAGCAAAGAAACCAAGAAGTGAGGCTGTCACACAGTGCATTTTTATTTTGTTTCATCCCTCATTAACATTTATAACCTTTTTTGTCATCTTACTTACTTACTTAGTCCTCTTCGTTCCTTCAGGAACATAAGGCTGCGACGATCTGCTTCCATCTGGTCCGGTCTTGTGCAGCATGCTGTGCCTGCTTCGTGCTACTGGTAGGGTTGATTTTGCAGCTTTCTCTATACAGTAGCTGGAGTTGGTTGGGATTGACGTGCCGGGGCAGCTTGTACACGACCCGAAGTCTGTCTGGCCTCACGTGGTATGAGGCTGTAATCCATCACCTGGAAGACCATAGACAAGGGTAGGGGACTAACAAGCCAACTCCAAAACACTTCCCCTAGGTGGGGGTTGGGCGTGGGGCTAACAACCCCACCCCGTAAAAATGTATTATTGTTATGGAAACTTCTACAAATGCTTTTTTGTCATCAGCTCTCCTGTATTGTGTTGTGGAGTTGCCTGTGTCTGACATAGCAAACTGTCAGAGCCCTACAAAATGACCTCCAGCAGGCTACTGGTGTGCATGTTTTTGACCACACTGTCAGAAACAGACTCCATGAGGGTGGCATGAGAGCCCGACATCCTCTAGTGGGACCTGTGCTCACAGCCCAGCTCCGTGCAGCTCCATAATTCACCAGAGGATTGGCAGGATTGGCTGTTCTCTGTTCTCTTCACACATTCCTTGGGCCATTCCTGAGCCGTGTTTGTAGTGTGGCATGGTGCATTATCCTGCTGGGGGGGCTGGTCTGCAATGGTGTTTGAGTGGGTGGAACATGTCAGGTGGTATCCACATGAATGCCAGAACCAAAGGTTCCCAGCAGAACAATGCATTGGAACAAAATAATCAAAGTTATTCACTTCACCTGTCAGTGGTTTAAATGCTTTGGCTGATCGGTGTATAGTTTATGATGAATGCATTTAGTCTCTGATGACTAAACTTTACCCTCAGTCAACACTCAACAGCACGAATTCTGTTAACAGAATAAACCTTCAAACGACATATTGTTGAGTCAACATCTAAACCAGTCAGCTGTTAGATCAGGTGAGAGCCAGGTGTTGCAGTCATCGGAGACTGCAGCCACCTTGCTCTCGCTATCCACTTTTGTAATGACGTCAGGAACAAAACTAACCAGCATGCATTGTGTGGCGATCGCCGGTGATCGAATCTGTGCAGGCCTGGCTCATCTTGAACGAGCCTAATGATTTGCAAATAGAGAAATGTGCATGCCCTGTGAACAGTCTCTGTGGTATTGTACTTTAATGTCACATGATGTATAAATGATTCTACTTCCACAGGTGCAGTCAAATAATCTCCATTTATTAAAAACAGAAACGCTTAGAAAATAATAGCAGTACATTAAGGTGCAAATTACACTTGAGACATGTTGCATTTCGACTTGTGGTTGACATCCTCTGCCAGCGATGTTACCAACTCCCGATTAAGGATGTTCCAGTCAATACTGAAAAATATCACAAAATTACAACACAATGCATGGATTACATGGGAATGCTGTGAAAGACTGGAGTGAAGAGAGACCAGATTCATGAGTCTTTAATTCAAGTTTTTGTCGCCCATGTTCTAAATGTGCCGCATATTTTTACTCTCCCCTCATTCAATTTTAAGAGATGACAGGGGTGAACCATTTCATCTGGAGCTGTCAGGAAGGTGCTGCATCACTTCAGAGGTTTTGACACTTTGAACCCAGGCTGCCTGCACGACTACACTTCAGATGAAAGAGTAAGCAAGAACAAAGCGAGGAAATGTCCCGAAACAGTTTGAGATAAGAGAAAGAAGCAGCGGTATACTGTGATATGCTGCCACTGCTGGTGCCAATATCACACATCACAGGCATGAGGCCGAAGGCAACAGTGGCAAGCAAACTAAAGCTGCTTAGTTTCGACTAATACAATGGACAAGACAGATCTGAAAACATAGATACATGATGAATTTTCTTTTTACAATTTATCTTTTCATTCCTTTCAAAGCTGTGCCTGTAAGTGCAAAACACAGACCTTGTTACAGCAATCTTTTCTCTCTAAGTAGGAAGAAGTTCAATTACACTAACAGCCTTCCAGATGCTAATATAATCACGGATTTAATTCATCCGCACATTTTTCTGTCAGGTTAACTGAAGGGAAATCTTTCACATACTGAATCTTAATGGGATGGAAAAATACTGAGGTGCTCAGGCTTTTAACTACAATCACCAAAGCTCCTGTTGTAATACTGATGTAGTCCAGAGGGGCTGCGAGCGGTGCTTTCTGAGAGTTACATCAGACTGCTGTGAGACGAGGATAAAGCTACAGTAGGTAACTCTTTAAGCAAACATGACAAAATCATTTGTTATAACTGTCACTATATCCTGACAGGAGTACACGAGGCAGATAAACATCTACCTCCTCATAGTGCTCATAATGGCATTTGCAAGAATTATGAAAACAACCAAACAGAGCTGAGGTGTCTCAAACAGAGCTGTCAATCTTGTCAGTCGCTGCTCTTGAACTGCAGTCAAACTGTCAAACCAGGCAAAGATTTTCAGAATCTTATTTTAGTGTACTGTTTGGCTGTAACATGAGAACATCTGCTCTGGCAGGTGGGCGGTGTTTTGTTTCGGCTCAACAGTTTTTAACACGGCAGCAGGGTCACAAACTTTCTCATTACTTGTTACTGTTACAGTCACTAATCAAATAATTATGTCATTACTTGCTGTAGATTTTATTAATAACTAGATACTGAATGCCAAGATGGCACCTGGGGCATGCGCTAAAAAAGTTCATCAACTTCTGGGTTTACCTCCGAGGTATGCGACCCACTGAATATGCACAGTAGTTTTCCTCCCGCTCGGCTTGTAGACTTTACATTGTGATGACTTCATGGATTTTAAATCGTTTTTCTCGGCTTGAGGAAAGTTGTACAAATAAAAAACCTCCATGGATCAAAAATTCATGATAGAAAGAGTTATTAACGACCTTGATTGCATTCGAGGTGTCCTGTCAACAGTTTTACAGACGTGTTTTTTAATGATGGTGGTCTATGGGGAAAATCCTTTTTGGGCCACAGGGAATTTTTTCACTGCAATACCATGAGTGACCACTGGGAAATTTTGCTGAGCTGCTTTCCTGGGGCTTGTTTGTTGTGTTACAGAAGTTTTTCAATTATATGCATAATGGATGGATTAAAAAAAAAAATCGTCAAACATGCCAACATCATCAACGCCGTCCAGAGTACCCGTGGAGAGGCTCTTCAGTCTGGGCAGTTTTGGGCTGGCGCCAAGGATGAACAGCTTGTCTGACGAAGGATTAGAGCAGTGGTTCCCAACTGGTGGGTCGTGACTCCATTTTAAGTTGACCGCAAGCGAAAGTGTCAGGTTTGTGAAAAACACACTTTGTTTTGAGGTACAGTGAATATCCAGCACGGAGCTTTTATTTTGAAGTGCCATTTTCTGCTGTAGAGTGACTTAAGACAGCAAACTAGCTTGGCAACAAGTGTGATGCTGGGTATTTTAAACTATTTGAACCTTGAACTAATGACTAATAACGCAGAAGTTAAGTCATACATTTTTGTGATGAGTAATGTGTACTTTTATGAGCAACGACCCTAACACTGCTAGTTTGACAGTTTGACCACAGCTCACGAGCAGTGATTGACATGACCGACAGCTGCTCTCTCTGAAATGACCGGTGATTGTCCGAAGTCTCCATCACGGGCTGGATTTTCTAAAGCCCGATAAGAGAACCAAGCGGACACACAGAAGTCTAGTGTTCTCTCGGACCACTTGAATTAGAAAACAAAAAAGAAAAAAAGTTAACTATGGGATTTTTGCTCAATGGTGCCAAAATCAAACTGCCTACTCCAGCTTTAATTCATTATTATATGTAAAAACAGAGAATAAATTATCTCCTGGAAACTCTGTAAAAGGCGAACTCTATAAAGAAGGGGAACATCAGGAGGAGCCAGTTTAAGTTTCACTGCGTGTTCTAACTACCAGGATATGCTTTCAAAATGACGCTGCAAAGGTCTGTGTATTTATAAATATCCTCAAATAATTTCTATATAAGGCGGCCTGCTGGAAAATCAAAGTTATCAAAAACAGTTGTTGCGGTAGAAACTTGACTCATGTGCCAGCA